TTGAAGATCAATACTATTTATTTTTGTTGTTAATTAATTTTCAAATTNATCCGTATAATCAAATCCAAGTTAAATTCAATTGAATCAATCTCAAATACTATTTGCAAATGCACAGTCAAAACCCAAACAATTTAACATTCTTTGCCTCGTTTCGGTTTATACCCGCGGTACCCAATTAAGGGTATTTTCGACTTACAATTATNCTGTAGCTTAACTGGACTAAATTAGAATTATAGATAAGGTTGATAATCGAGTAAAACTTGTCGAGTTCGTTTTTCTAAACAAGTTTAAAAAAATATTTAAATTCGATTCATTTAGAAAATGAGTCGAGCCTGAGTCCGAGCCAAACTCGAGTAATTTGACTATTTTACATANTTGTAGCTTAACTGGACTAAATTAGAATTATAGATAAGGTTGATAATCGAGTAAAGCTTGTCGAGTTCGTTTTTCTAAACAAGTTTAAAAAAATATTTAAATTCGATTCATTTAGNCTCTAGACCGCCTAGGATTTGCAACTTCATTCTCGCTTAGGACCGATAATTGAATTGAGTTATTGAAATTTGATTTAAATTTGATTTATTTAAAACATGAGTTCAACATATTTGATTTATTTATATATAAATACTCGGGCTCAGTTTATTTTGAACTCATTCAAACTTAAACAATTTTTTTATGCTTGTTTAAAAAAAAGTGTTAGACATANTTAGAAAATGAGTCGAGCCTGAGTCCGAGCCAAACTCGAGTAATTTGACTATTTTACATATAAAAAAGCCGAACTTTATGAGTTTGAGTCGAACTTTTTTAACTTGTTTTTTAAATGAGTTTAAAAAATTATTTAAATTAAGCTTTTTTAGAACATGATTCGAGCTTGAGTCAAGCTCTATCTAAATTGAACCTGAATAATTCCACTTAATTATCAATCCTATCTATCGATAATTTAATGTTATCATAGTCGTGTCATNTTTTTTAACTTGTTTTTTAAATGAGTTTAAAAAATTATTTAAATTAAGCTTTTTTAGAACATGATTCGAGCTTTAGTCAAGCTCTATCTAAACTGAACCTGAATAATTCCACTTAATTATCAATCCTATCTATCGATAATTTAATGTTATCATAGTCGTGTCATGCATATCATAATCGTTGCTCCTTGATTTTATTTTAAAAAACAAATAAATCAATGTTTTATATAATTTATAAAAATTGATCATAAAAAATTTAGTTTTATAATTTTATATTTTTAATTATTTCATTTATAGTAATTAATCAGTATAATTAATAATAAATAAAAATAGTATAATAATAAAATTAATAACGCGTGTCAATAAAAAATCCGGTGTCTCACACGTACGGTAGACCCCACAGTTCAAGGCAGGAGGACATTACAAATCGGAGCGGGTCTGGGACTGAAAAAACGAAAAAAGATGAAATGAAGCGTTCGATACCGGACTCCATTCAGAAGGAATCTTCAGCTAACGACCGTTGGATTTCGACGGGATTCGTGCAAGAAATGAACACGTGTCACCTGACTCGAAACCCACGGAGCTGAGTCACAGAAAAACGACAAAAAAGGACAGTACCTTTTTTTTTGAACAGAAAAAAAAAAAAAGAAAAAAAAAACTGAAAAAGGACTGAGTGTACCTAAAAGTGAATAAAAGGCCAATGGAGTGAGGGAGAGAGAGACTGATGACCTTGGGTTAGGTTAAGGTCTTAACTATGGTTAGGTTAAAGTTAAGTCAAGACTCGCGACGTGGAATTGAAAGTGACTACCAAATTATTAGTTAACGGTTACTTGACGGCGTTTGAGGTTTGACTGTTGAAACAAGGGTTGAGGGACCCGTCAGTTTGTGAATAAGTCGGCGATTGGTACAATGTCTTTTATAGATTTCTGTAATTTAAAATTAAAATGAACGGAGAAAAAAATAAAATAGAGATAAAGAAGAAAGAAGATAATGGTAGGTATAAATTAGTGGAGTTATTTTAAATTTAAAGGTGATAATTTATAACACAATACGAAAATACGACTCAAAATTAATGGGTTAGAGTTAACTATTTTTGACACGAACACGTATATAACACGNAGTGATAATTTATAACACAATACAAAAATACAACTCAAAATTAATGGGTTAGAGTTAACTATTTTTGACACGAACACGTATATAACACGACTTGTTAACGTAAATAATAAATGAGTTGAATTAATACTAAATATGAAATTGATACAATTAACATATTTAAATATTATTATAAGAATAAAATATTAATTTTTATTATTTATCGAGTAGTTACATAATTCTTGTATAAAAAAAGTTATTTTTTTACAATTGAATCAAATTATATAAAAATTAAATCAGTTTTGACTGTAAGTTGTGTTTTTATAAGTTAAGAATTTAACTTTTTAATTATAGTATTAGATACATATTTAAATTTTATAATTAATTCATAAATGAGGTATTGTATGTGTAAGTAGTCATTCAAAAAATATTTAAGTATGCTTTTACGGATAACAAAATGCACAATAACAACAAAAAGCTAGCCACTTAACTAGAGTCCAACATAAGAATAAAAGATTATATTTTCGGACTTCACAGTCATAATATCAAATATTTTATATTCTATAATAGGATTCATGTTCGATTATATTATTTATTGCAGTAAAATCAAGAATAAAAACTCATTTTTTTTCTAAAACAAAGTCATAATTAGTGCAAAACATGCAAAAGAAAGCCTAATCAACATCTTCCCATGTTTTATTATAACATCCATTGAAATAAAAACAGAAAATCAAACAAAATTTCAATTTTTTTTAGATAAAATTCATAATCGATGCAATCATAACAAATAACTTAAATTAATACCCAGTTATATTTTATTATACTATTTATTGGAATAAAGCAAAAAAGTCAAATAAAATCACATTTTAACAAAAAAAACCCTAAATAGTACAAAATATTGATATGTTTGCTTATTATGATAACATCATAAAATTCTATTAGATATAGTAACGGACGTTAATGACAAGGACTTATATGTTATGTACACAAATTTTAGGGGTCTAAATATAATATTTCAAATATAAAAGGTAAGTGACAAATTTTATTTAATTGTAAGGGACTTAGTGTAATATTTTAAATGTGAAAAAGTCAATATAATTAAGTGACAAAATATTGAGGGTTTTGGCATAATTTACTCGTTAAATTCCAAACCTGACCTAAATTAAAGATGACACAATACGAGTTTCAGAACTCTGGCGCTTTTTTAAATTAACTCGGCAGCCGATGAATTGGCATCGTTAACTAAGCCAAAACTGACCCATGGTTAAGGACCGTTAACGTTAAGTCAGTCAGTTTTCATTGCAATTAAATAAAGAAACAGTGAATTGACAGAAGAGGACCCCACAGGTGGTCAGCTTTGTCGTTTTGTGATGAATTACCTCCAAAAAGGGGTAAAAGCATAAACGCAAAGGATTCCCGGTTCAAAAATTCACTTTACCCTTTTTAAATGTAACACAAAAATACATATTCTATACTCCANACCCTCCAAAAAAGGGTAAAAGCATAAACTCAAAGGATTCCCGGTTCAAAAATTCACTTTACCCTTTTTAAATGTAACACAAAAATACATATTCTATACTCCACTCTACACAAATACATTCACAATACCATTAAAAAGCTATTTATATATATATATATATATATATATATATATATATTTTTACCAATCAGAATATGCCACGTGTACAAAGAACAAATTAATTCAAAATAAACGATTAACGATCAAGATTATCCAAGTCAGTTTAAATGTATTTCAATTAATTTTTTTTTGATCTGATCAAAAGCACGTGCATCCATTCCGAGACTTATTATTTATTAATTTTTTTTTTTTTGTGTGTGAATGAAATATCTTTGATCAAATTATAAAAAAAATTAGTTAAAATATACATAAATTAACTTAAATACTCTTAACCATTAAATCACAAANGAATTTTTTAATTTTTGTGTGTAAATGAAATATCTTTGATCAAATTATAGAAAAAATTAGTTAAAATACGCATAAATTAACTTAAATACTCTTAACCATTAAATCACAAAAAAAAACCTCAACATGGTGATGACTTGAGAGGTTATTCTATAGATGGAGGGGCATCATCTATAATTTCATTGACCAAAAGTGATGTTATTCTATTTTTTTAAAATTTTTATTATTAATTGATAGTGATAACATCTAATCCAGACGTCCATTTCTTGATAGCCTCACTTTGTCATTAAGCTACTACATTTCATATATTATCATTATTATATATATATATTACTAGAATGTTATATATATATATATATATATATATAAAGTTCGGTGTTAAAATTAGTGATTGGTATTATCTCTAGTATTAGCCTTAAAAATCACGGGTTATAATTTATGACTACAAATTACCAAAGAAAACAAAAAGGGAAGGTCGGTGGTTAATAATTTTGGTTTTTTATGACCAAACCAAATTACTAAAGTAAAAAAAAATGGATAATAAGACATTTATGTGGGTAAATATACAACAGCTGCTAAAGTAAAACTAATTAAAATGTTGTTTTTCAGTAATTTTTTGTTTGTTCGACCTGAATTTATGAAGAATAAATCTCTCTTGATTTGAGTGAAACTTTAATAAAATATAAAATTAATAAAGCAGGTAAATAAATACACCATTCATACGTACATGATACATACTTNTAGTAATTTTTTGTTTGTTCGACCTGAATTTATGAATAATAAATCTCTCTTGATTTGAGTTAAAGTGATTGCCAAGATTAGAACTTTTTTTGGAACTTTAATAAAATGTAAAATTAATAAAGCAGGTAAATAAATACACCATTCATACGTACATGATACATACTTTTTAAGGGGAATGCATATAGACAAATACAGTATTCCATACGTAGAAATGAGAATGAGAGAGAGCAGAGAGAGAGGTGTATTTGAGAAGCTCACTGGTGCTCTGATTTTGATGCATGAGAGAGAGAGGGAAGAGGGATAATAGAGAGAGAGAAGAGTACTCCACAAGGTTCTCACACATTGTGTGTGTGTGGAAAAGAGAGAGAGAGACTCTTTTGTCAAAACATATATCTTTACTGCATTTGGGTTGTTGTCCTTTGAACAATCATCTCTGTGAAGTTTCAGAGGAGCAAACCGGGTGCGCACTCTCTCTCTCTCTCCTTATTCTACTGATCACCATGAAGTGTGATTCATTGCTCAGATTTTCTTTGATTTTTTGAAACTAGCAAGGTTTATCCAATCTGATTTTTATTCCATCGTTTTTGTTTGTTTTGATCATATTTCTGAGTCATCTCACTTCTTAGAGCTTTCTCTGTGTATCCATGGGTTTTTTCCATATGGGTATCGGCTTTTTGTAGGAGTTCTAGCAACTTCTAATGCATTTATGAAAGGTTTTTGTATATATCAACAATCGAATTTCTCATTAAGGGTTTTACAAAAAATTGAATGTGTTTATAAATTGACCTGGTAGTGAATTTGAAGTATTTCCAATACAGACTGTTCATTGCTTTCCTGGTTGATTTTCACTTTTCTTTGACATTTTTCAAGACCTCTTTAATGTTAATCTAAGCATTCATCTGGAGATGGTTGGGGTCCTTAAGACTTTATTCCTTTAGATTTTTCAATTCATGTAAGCTTCTAAAAATATTAGATTTTTCAACTGGGTTTATTTATTTGTTTATTTTTTCCATTTTTGATCTCTATTATTACTTTTTTTTTTCTTTCTAAGTATTATTATTCGGCATTTCATTGAGAGATTGGTTTTTAAGTAGTTTGATGTAGCTATTTTAAATGCATGTCATGGATTTGATGCTTCCAAGTGATTGAATCATTGNCTTTTTTTCTTTCTAAGTATTATTATTCGGCATTTCATTGAGAGATTGGTTTTTAAGTAGTTTGGTGTAGCTATTTTAAATGCATGTCATGGATTTGATGCTTCCAAGTGATTGAATCATTGTCTTGATATTTCAATTGATGAATATTTTAGTGGATTAATTTTCTAAAGAAAATATCTGAATTTTTGCTGCAGGGTAGAGGTTTTGTTTAGTAGTTGGATATGCTGAGGAAGAGGAATAGATCATCACACCAGAAAGATCAACACGCGGGTCACCTAATGTCTGATATTGTTTCAGAAAAATTTGATGTTTTGGGGCAGAAACATAAAACAAATTCATTTTTCAATGTTCCTGGTCTGTTTGTAGGATTCAATTCTAAAGGTCCAGAATCTGATTCAGTTAGAAGCCCCACTTCACCATTGGACTTTAGGGTGTTTTCAAATCTAGGAAATCCCTTTAGGTCCCCAAGGTCATCCAATGAGGGAAATCAGAAGAGGTGGGATTGCAGTAAAGTAGGCCTAAGCATCATAGATTCTCTTGAAGATGATACGAAACAATCTGGGAAAGTTCTCCGATCGTCGGACAGTAGGAATATTCTTTTTGGACCGCAGATGAGGATCAAAACCCCCAATTTTGTAAGCCGTATTGATTCCTTTGAAGCATCTAAGTCACTTCCTAAAAACTATGCAATTTTCCCTCATACCCAGACCAAACTATTCAATCTCCAAATAGGCAGTTCTAATGTTCTTTTTGGAATTGGAGAAGCCCCGTTAGAGCCTGAGTCATCTGAAAAAATCCGGTCTTGTTCGTTGGATTCTAGAAGGTCTGGGTCACATCTTACCAGTTTAACAAACATTGTCACCTACTCAAGTTCTGGGATTTTTTGTCCAGAAAATGGAATAAACCCTGTGAGTCAACCTTCTCATTTAGCCAGAGGAAGCCCAAGTTTGAGCAATTCGGTAGGTACAACACTAACTTCGATCCCTGTATCCATTGGTGGCAATAGTTTGATTGAGCCTCTCTCACAAGCTGAGATTGAGCTTTCTGAGGATTATACCTGTGTGAGAACACGTGGCCCCAACCCCAAAACAACTCATATTTTCGGTGACTGTATTTTAGAATGTCACAACAATGAGTTTGCCAATTTTTCTAAGAATGAGGAACAGGAGGTTGCATTGCCTCAAGAGGTTAAGTTCTCTGAAGATCCCGCCTCATACCCCTCCAGTGGTTTTCTGAGCTTCTGTTACTCATGCAACAAGAAATTGGAGGGGGAAGATATTTACATGTACAGGTCTGCACAATAGCTTTGTGTTTTCTTGATTAGTGAACTCAACATTTCAAAATGTTAATTTGGGACTCTGCTTTGTTTGATATCTTGCAGGGGTGAGAAAGCATTTTGCAGTTGGACTTGCCGCTCAGAGGAGATTTTGTTTGAGGAGGAAATGGAGAAAACCGACAATGTGTCTTCTGAAAAATCTGTTCAGTTGAATGCATGTGATGAACTTTTTGAGAATGGTCTGTTCATCGCCACATGAGGCCATAGCCACTATGCCCATGATTGATTAAACCATTGCATAAATAGACACCCCTGATCATCCATTTACTAAGAGCTGTTCATGTGTATCTGTTAGCAGCCATGGAGGATCATTGTGTGCGTTGTTCTTGATGCTGATTGTTTGTAATCTTTCATGGTCATAGCGGGTAGCAACCGGCAGTTTTTGCTTTACATATATATATATATAGATATCTGACACTGATACATAATCTTGGACTTCAATTGGAGAATGGCCGTAGCCGATCTTCATGGCTCTCCAATTTGTTGCCTTAGCTTTTTTTGGCTGGAGTTCATGTGTAAGCCTCTAAAACTCAAAAATTTTGAATGAAATTTTAAACTACTGTTATGAATNTAAGAGCTGTTCATGTGTATCTGTTAGCAGCCATGGAGGATCATTGTGTGCGTTGTTCTTGATGCTGATTGTTTTTAATCTTTCATGGTCATAGCGGGTAGCAACCGGCAGTTTTTGCTTTACATATATATATATATATAGATATCTGACACTGATACATAATCTTGGACTTCAATTGGAGAATGGCCGTAGCCGATCTTCATGGCTCTCCAATTTGTTGCCTTAGCTTTTTTTGGCTGGAGTTCATGTGTAAGCCTCTAAAACTCAAAAATTTTGAATGAAATTTTAAACTACTGTTATGAATAACCTGTCTGTTGAACCTTCGTTTCAAATCTGTCAGATTATGGGTGTGATTGTAAATGAGATTATGAGAAGTTGACCATTGTTTGTTCATATTCTGTGTAGTTCATAAACAAATGAGCCCATAAGCTACAGCCAGCTTCTCACTATGGTAAAATGATGACCCTTCTTTCAATTCCTCTTCATGTACTCTTGCTTCAATCTCATTCAACATTGAGTAAATTTCTGCTGATTGAGGGTTTGAAAAATCCCCACAAGTAAACTCCACTGGCAAACTACAGCCTGCTTTCTTTTGGATTCCTATTTCCTTGAGCTTTGTTCTCACCCTACTCACATCATGCAATCTTCCTCCTTTTGCGTATGTACTTGAAAGAAACACATAATCAGAATCATTTAGCTTGTCTATCTATTGATCAAAAAAAGCTTGTCTATCTCTATCAGATGATTGTATGTATACTCTGCTACATTATTGTGTTGTACAAGCTCTCAACAAGGAAACTCCATATAGAGGCATCTTGTTCAATTGGCATGGTTTGGTGAATTTTATCGCATCTTACAAGCGCCCGACCTGGCCCAGGAGATCAACCACGCAAACCATAGTGATGAAACTTAGGAGTAATGCTGTAGAAATGGCTCATCTTGTTGAAATGTATGAGAGCCTCTCATCAACTAAACCTCCATGGCTGTAAGCAGATAGTTGAGCTATGAAAGTGACGTGGTCTGGCTTTATACTTTTCCATTTCCAAGTAAAGTTCGATTGCTTTATGGGGTAGGTCCTCCATGGCATGTGCTGCTATCATTGCAGTCCACAAGAAACATTTTTATCTGTTACTTCAGAAAACAACTCATAGGCTGTCTCAGAGCTTCCACATTTCCCATACATGTCTATTAGGGCAGTTCTAACATGTTATCCACTTGAATATGGTTCTTTCTGATGTAAGCATGGACCCAAAGGCCATGATTCAGGGCTCCAACTGAAGCACAGGCTGATTAGCAAGCTAATTTAAGTGAGTTATTAGGGTTTCACATTTGAACTTTGCATTTTTTTTTTTTCCATGACACCAAGTTCTTGCTGGGCAACTGCTCAAATATGGTGCAAGCCTCCTCAACTTTTTAACATTTGGCATAGACGTCTATCAGAGAATTCTTCCCAGACATCCATCTACAATCATTCCATACTGGAAGATCAAGCCATGGATAGATCTACCTAGTGTTCTTTTTCTGGGTGAGCACAAGCTGAAAGTGCCTTCACAAGAGCTACCTCATCCTCACATTTTCGAGTCTCATTTACGCGAACAACTTGCGACTTTCAGTGTAAAACCCACCTTGAACAAAACCCGAAATCATCATTCTCCATGATATCAAATTCCTCTTTGTCATCTGGTTGAACAAGTGCATAGCTGCAGTTAGATCACCAACTTTCACATAGCCACTGATCAATGTTGTCTATAAGACAACATTACTCCCATTGTTGCAGCTACCAAATAGCCTCTGTGCTTCCCCCATTTTCCCACACGATATATACATACACACAACTACACAAGACAATTCAACAAGCACCCACTAATTTCCATATAATTTCACCTCAATGCAGAGATGCAACTTCTTTCCTATTTTCAAATCCCTCAACTTTGTACAAGCCGAGATTAAGTTAATCATCGCTATCTTATTGGGTTTAGCCCCATTAATCGTCATCTTCCCAAACAAATCGAAGNTTGCTTCCCCCATTTTCCCACACGATATATACATACACAAGACAATTCAACAAGCTCCCACTAATTTCCATATAATTTCACCTCAATGCAGAGATGCAACTTCTTTCCTATTTTCAAATCCCTCAACTTTGTACAAGCCGAGATTAAGTTAATCATCGCTATCTTATTGGGTTTAGCCCCATTAATCGTCATCTTCCCAAACAAATCGAAGGGATTGGCTTGACAACCCCATCTGAACATAGCAACGACACCATAGAATTCCAGCTGATAAAATCCCTGTCGGGTTATTTCTCAAACAGTTGGATCACTTTCTCTAATCTCCTATCTTTTGATTACATACCCATCAAATTGTTCTTCACCGACACACTCCACCCAAGCCCAGATTTCTAAATTCTGCCATGAACTTCACTTCCTAGTCCAAAATTCAAATCTTTACAAGAAGCAAGAATTAAGAAGTGAAAACTGGTAAATATCTAAACCACACCACTTGAGCAACCATGTGATAGCAAAGTCAATAACCCTTCTTTCCCAGAACCATCTTGATCTTGAATTTGGTTTTCCATGAGGGTGTTCCAAATTACCATCTCTGGTTCCAATAACCGACTCAAGATACTCTTGAGCATAAGCAAGAATTGCAGAACTGAAGAATGTGGGTGGTTATGGATGAGATTTGTGGTGATCAAATGGGCATGGATTGGCAAACATTGGCTGAGGTTTGTGCAAGATTTCAACAAGGTGGTGGTGGTGGTGGGTCAGAAATGGCAGTAGAAATTCCGATTCTGGTGGGCTTCACTGTAGGAGGAATGGAAGGGAAGATGGTGGGAAGGGCCAAAGCCATCTTTGAATTTTAGCCGTCGGTTCCCTCCATTTTTGTAATGTAATGGTTTGGATTGGGATAAGGTGGCCTTAAATGACGAAAATGCCCTTTCTGCCGGAGTTTTTAAAAAAAAAAAATTTTTTTTGGGAGGGGACTTGAACCCTTGACATCAAGAAGACAGAACTTTCATAAGATAAATAGTACTATTAAATCAAAGACTCGGTAGTATTTGCAGGTTATCCAATGTGGGATAACCCATGGGTGTAAGAGTAAGAAATTGTTAGAACATTATTAAAATTTATGATTAATTACAAATATGCCTCTTCCAACTATGTCACTTATTGTAATAAACTCTTCGAGATTTCAAATGNTCCATTTTTGTAATGTAATGGTTTGGATTGGGATAAGGTGGCCTTAAATGACGAAAATGCCCTTTCTGGCGGAGTTTTTTTAAAAAAAAAAAATTTTTTAGGAGGAGAAAGGGAAGGAGACTTGAACCCTTGACATCAAGAAGACAGAACTTTCATAAGATAAATAGTACTATTGAACCAAAGACTCGGTAGTATTTGCAAGTTATCCAATCTGGGATAACCCATGGGTGTAAGAGTAAGAAATTGTTAGAACATTATTAAAATTTATGATTAATTACAATATGCCTCTTCCAACTATGTCACTTATTGTAATAAACTCTTCGAGATTTCAAATGCTAAAATTTAACCCTTCTAAGTTTCAAGTGGAATAAAAAAAAAAAAAAAAATTCAAGTGGATTAAATTGAGTAACAACAATGGCTGAACACTTGAAAAAAATCATTACACCCTTCGTCTTATATATTTTTTTTTAATTTTTTTTTAGATATCAATTTTGTCCCTAAAAAAATAAGAAAGAAATCAAAAAAGCTAAAACTAAAAAATAAAGAAATCTTTGCCTCCACCTCATCATCGGAAAAGGAGGGTTTCTACCAGAAGGGGGAAAGGAATGAGAGTTAATCATCCAAAATAAGGGAGGATAGAAAGGTATAAGGGTAAGGGGGAAGTATAGATATTTTGGTATATGGGAAAAATAGGTGTAAGGGTAATTATTTATTTTTAAAAAANTCTTCGTCTTATATATATTTTTTTAATTTTTTTTTAGATATCAATTTTGTCCCTAAAAAAATAAGAAATCAAAAAAGCTAAAACTAAAAAATAAAGAAATCTTTGCCTCCACCTCATCATCGGAAAAGGAGGGTTTCTACCGGAAGGGGGAAAGGAATGAGAGTTAATCATCCAAAATAAGGGAGGATAGAAAGGTATAAGGGTAAGGGGGANCATCGGAAAAGGAGGGTTTCTACCAGAAGGGGGAAAGGAATGAGAGTTAATCATCCAAAATAAGGGAGGATAGAAAGGTATAAGGGTAAGGGGGAAGTATAGATATTTTGGTATATGGGAAAAATAGGTGTAAGGGTAATTATTTATTTTTAAAAAAGTGAAAATCACATAAATTTAACATGTCTAATTTTTTGTCAATTTTTATTGTCTAAAAATAACTATTGGAGTTAATTACAAAATATTTAAACTTAAAAGGGATTATTTATTAAAACTAAAACATGAATGAGTGAGTTGCAAACTACCCAAAGTTAAAAAGAATATTTTATAATTAAAACTAAAATTTAACTTAAAATCATAATGGCCGCAAATGCACCGCACGGGGGTGGCTTTTTTTAGGTATTTCATATAAATGTGTGGTGTGTGTAAATTTTTTTAAAGTGTTGTACATAAAAATCCGCAATTGTTTTTTTTTTTTTAAAATAAATTTATAAGTGCTTATATGCAAATATATGCATCTTGAATTTATGTTAGAANGTACATAAAAATCCGCAATTGTTTTTTAAAAAAAAAAATAAATTTATAAGTGCTTATATGCAAATATATGCATCTTGAATTTATGTTAGAATCATAAATCCAAAAGATATGTGATGAGTGATTTTGGGTTATTAAAAGAAAAACGAAGCATCCAATGCACTGGTGCATGAGAAATGGGAAGGAAGGTCATCAAAACTTTGTATGATCGCCACTCTAGTTAATTTGAGTGATTGTTATATACATATTGACATATCTGGCCTACTACTCCAGATCGATCGAATGCTTCGAAAAAATCTTAGGCTCAATAAGTGTATAAAAACATGTATAAGTTCGAAGAGGGAGAGAAGCGCGACTACCATCAGTTGAAACCTGGGAATCAAGAGGAAATGCCACCAAACACGATGAATAGTATTTGTAGTTAGCAAGAAGGGCTAAATAACTTTTGAGTCTGCCCCTCCAGCGATAAATAACAAGTAGACTAATTCAAGGCCAACTATTTATCAAAATGGAAGTGGTCCAACATTCATTACAAAGGGGACCTAGCCGGATGCTGAAAGCAAAATCTCGACATTTCATCCGTGGCATTGTTCCATTCTAATTCGTAAGATCTTGGCGTCTAAATTACTAGATTGTCTTATTGGCAGGTCCTTCTATGGGAGCCATCATACCACACCTATTATGTATCAATCATAGTGATAGTAAACTACCATTCCAGGATTGTGCCCAAACTACTGCTTTTTTCCATGTTATTGAACCTCGACAGTACAAGTGCACATTTTATTCAGAACATGGATGGTGGAACCAAACAAACAACATGCAAGAGAGGAAAAAGAAAAAAAGAGAAAAAAGAATGCAAGCAATGTGATTGTTGAGGAACCCCGACAGCACCAGGTGCAGGGACGCAATATTCTCCACTCATCTTTCATCGTCACTGAGGCTGAGCTAGTTCGTACGAAACTCCACAACCATGGTACCTCTCATATCACTGTCTCTATCATGTGCAAGAGATCTTTGGTTCTCGTTATCAATGCCAATTGTGTTGCTCTTGCCTAATCATCTTCCTCTAGTTTGGCGGGTGTTGTAGGACTTGCAATTGGGACATTTCTGGGCCAAAATATGGAACTGGACTTCGGAAGTGGTGCCACAATCATTGCACAGGATCCAAATCTGCAAGTAAACTGCTATCAGTTTCCTCAAGCTACGATAAAGCAATATGTATTCAATCTGCATTCCGGATTGCTTGTAACAATAACAATTACACTAAGAGAGAGAGAGAGAGAGAACTGACCATCTTATTGTGGTAAGATTCTGGCANAGATTACTTGTAACAATAACAATAACACTAAGAGAGAGAGAGAGAGAGAACTGACCATCTTATTGTGGTAAGATTCTGGCATGGGTGTAGCTGCAATCTCCATGTCAAATTTCTCCCATACCTTTGACATATCACAAACTGACTTGGAGCAGAGAGGACAAGCATATCTGATCCAATAAAAGGCTGAATTAGAAAGCATTAACCATTTAAGTAGTAAAAGAAATAGAGAGGGAAAATTAGAGATTTTCACTCACTGGAAGTGTTCCTGCATTTCCTTCAAGCAGTTCTTGTGAATGGTGTGTCCACAAGGCATTACAGTTACATCATTTCTCGACTCAAAAAGATACTGCAAACGAAAAAACCTCTGATTAAAAAATGGGTTGTGGACGTGCCACCAAAATATCAGTCACTGCAACTGTCATGAAAGAAAAGGTATTTGTCAGGTGATAATATACCTCAAAGCAAACAGGGCAGTCATGGTGCATTGCTCCTTCCACGCAAGGATGGCTATTCTTCAAAAGAACTGAGTAGCAGCATCCTAAATTGCATACACAAAATACAGTGAGGCCAGTATACAGTCAAAGCTCCCAACAAACATATCCAGCACAGAGGAGAAAGAAGAAGAAAAAGACGAGGAAGGTAATTAAAACTTACGGCATTTGTAGCAATGAAAGAAATTTTCACGCCCACCAATTCTGTAACAAAGCAGATTAAGTGGAAGTCATAAAAAGCACAAACGTAATACATCAATATATGATGCATAATAAAGGAGTACAAAAATGCTGGAAACTTCTATTTGGTTTTCATTTTATTTTATTTTTTTTGAGGGGGAAGGGGGAGGGACTGATAAAGTGTGACTTCCTCCTATTGCAACATTATTTATGGTAACATCTAAAAAATGTATCTTCTCTGTCTCGTACAAATACATCTTATTTTTCTTTCCTTCAAGGAGATATGATTAATAGGTTGCTCATTATGAGTCATTCCTCCCAGAAGATGCTTAAAAACCAAATTAAGCTAACACAAAAAATTACCTGCAGATGCCACAGCCATTGCAATGATACTGCTTCTTAGATGTCTGGAGAATGGCAGCAAAAGAAGATTAGACCAGCATACACATAATGCTCAAGTGAAAGTGTGTGTGTTACAAGGACCAATCCCTAATTTTTGAGGTTCAGACTAGCTTAGTGCACTGACAAAAGCCAGCATCTATCTCAATTTGTTATATGCTTAGTAGGACACTACAAATCATCAATGAGATGAACAACACTGCCTTATTGAAGAACCGATCAATATGCATAAAAGAAGGAATGTGCAAAACTCACATCGTCGTCAAATAGCTTGCAAGTTCCACAGAAATATTTGCCCATACATACACCACAGTTGATGCAAACTTGCCGAACCTGGAAACAGCAGAAGCAACTGTAAATTAGAAAAGGACAAAGCTGATTTACATAAATACAGAACCATGGTATCCTAGACAAGACCCAACATTACTAACATATTTTTACTTTTGGTTGTAAGCAAATTAGTTCATGACTGCTAAACTTCTAATAGCAAGCCATGCCCTCTATTCTGGAAGCGCCTATACAAGGACACAAATAACATGACCTCACCTCTTGTTCAGTGTCGCAGAGTGAACATATGACCTGGAAAAAACACCAGAAAAGTACTGTATCAACTAACTTCAAAGGCTCCAAAGCCATAAAAAACAGAGAAGAGAAGGGCGAGGGGANAGACCTCACCTCTTGTTCAGTGTCGCAGAGTGAACATATGACCTGGAAAAAACACCAGAAAAGTACTGTAACAACTAACTTCAAAGGCTCCAAAGCCATAAAAAACAGAGAAGAGAAGGGCGAGGGGAGCCTGGTGAAAGGTGCAAGGTCCAAGAGACTACCTGTTGAACCTGATGGCGTGGGATATCATGTCTGAGTTTTTGATTAATGTTGATGTTATTCTGTATGCAACAAACCAAAAGTGTCGGTATCAATGAACATTGCCCATAACAGTCATATGTCCAGGCAATTCTTGAACACAAAAAATGTAACACAACACCATTCTGAATTCCAATGAGCCACACACTTTCTAATCAATCCCACCTCAACATGACCAGCACTAAGATCATGGGGGCTCAAAGTCTTTTAATAAGGAACCCAACAATAATAACCTTATTTTGAAGTCATTTGGGACTCATAAAATGATTTGTCCATAAACAGAACATCCAACTTAAGAGCTAAAAAAAACTCAAAAACAAATGAGTTAACAGTCTTCTAACATCTGGCTAAGAGGTTCGACAACATAGTAAAAGAACCCCCATGACAGCAAACAGAAACAAACAAGAAAGGGTACTTGGTATAAACTCACCTTTGCCTCGTTATGACAATGACGGCAGTCAAAAACTTCATTGCAACAGGGTGCTCTAATGCGGCACCTTCGTTGATAGTGGGAACACCTGCAAAAGGAAGCATACAACTTGAAGAAAGAAACTATAATGACACAGTAATAAATATAACAAGGAAAAGGCCAAGGACCATACCCATATTTCAAGTATCCTCTATCCAGCAGTTCAGTGCCTGTGGTTTTTGCAACATTGGTTGGTTCTTCTGTCGGCATGCACTCCCCATGGGAATGCTGAGTATATGACTCAGCTGCCTCTACATTATTCACTTCACTATTACATTGTGGGGTTTTGGGCTCAAAGCATAGGGCCTCAGAATGCTCAATTGCTATTTCCGCCATCGAGTCTTTTGAATGAAACTAACAACTACCTAGTAGCTGACAGTGAGCCTAAAGCACCTGCATTTAGGAACAAGTTTAGCAAAAAAAAAAAAATCCTAAAATGTATATAGGCATATCTGGTTGCCCAGCCAACCAGGCAAACACCCCATGACAATGTTGCTTGCTCACATACTGCAGCAGACCAACGGAAATCAGCAAGAACATTATCCAACAAAGGTTGAACAGCTCCAATCAGCAAAGTCCAAAAGGAGGATTCATCAAAACACGTAGATCTAAATGATTCCAATATATTAACTATAAAGCAGCACTGAAGAACTCCATAGCATCCAGCTGTGGATAGTAAAGATTGCATGATCACTTGATTCTTGAAGCAGTCCAAATCCATCTAGATTGGACACCACCAATAGAGGCCTCAACCTAAGGTCAAAGCAATAGATCACAAATCAATCGTGTTCTAAGAAGTGAAAAAAAAATTAGGGGAAAAAGTGCGAGAGATTGCAGATATGAGTTATGTTCATTGTCCACTAAGGACAAGCCTACCTCAATCTGCGATTGCACTGAACCTTTTTCAATAAGTGAACTTACCCAAAACAACTTCTATTTCTATTGACTCCACTGGCATCTCTTTAACCGGAAGATTCTAGCTCAGTTGGTCTTTATTTAACTCTTCACATCTAATCCATTGGGTTGCAACAGACATAATATTTCAAAGCCTGCTTGGCAAAGAAAAACCACTGCCAACAAAAGACCCAGTAAGCTCCTCTCTCTTGTTATAGGAGCTTCTCACAGACAATTGTGGATGCCAATTCAAAAAGGATTAAAAGATTAGCATTTTCGAAGAATTATAGAACAAAGGAAAAAGGAACCTCCTGAATGCATGTCGAGAAATCCTACTTCGGCATTTAGTCTCTTGCCTCCATACATTACCCAACTTCTAGTCGGTAAGAAATAGAGACATATTCCAGAGCCTCCATATCTACCCCTCCTATAGATAAGGATAGTGCAAACACTGATAGTCTTGCGGTTTTAACTATGAATGGTGAGGTTTAAGGAGAAGTGATTGAGAAAGCAAAAGAATCAATAGTACAAGAATTAGAACCAGGAATAAGTTAACGGGTCAAACAAAGGCTATGAGAAACATATTCTGCTAATCGCACATTCACTGCTAGTGCTTAGCGTGGAGAGCATAATGCTTCAGACAAACAGCATTACACAGATTGTGTCAATCTAGGACCTAAATTAACCAGTATGAACACCTGTAACCCATAATGAAGAAACATGCTGGAATGTCCCTACAAAACGGCAGCGCAATCCCTGAGAAATGAGTGACATAAGACATAAAAGTTATCCAATTCTCCATTGTGTGGAAGGATCTAATTCTCCGTTGTGTGGAAGGAATAGAGATTTTGTGTCCAACAGCAAAGTGACCGCCTTATCTTATTGTAAGTGAGACATCTGAGCACAATATCCCATTTTAGTTGAAACCATACCTAGAGAGTCTACGAAGAGGGACATTACCCGACGGGAATTTGTTTTATGAGGACTTTCAATTGAATTCCTTTTCCACCACTCATTTGCATTTTTGCCCCCAATTGTGATCCATAAATTTACAACAAAAATACACAAATGACTTCACTAGTGAGGACACTCTAGTTTCAATTTTGATTATGCAATATTCAGTTCTACCATTCAATTATTGAAATCCATGTCAATATCATACCTCATACAACATTTCTTTATAAGAATACGTAATATAGCATTGACCCACAGAATCTAAACTACAAAATAACTGCAGCCTATCACTATGACCACAACTGACCAAATTTGGATGAATTAGCCGTACATCAATTTATTGTTTTGATAGACAAAATAAAGACTACATCCATAGTAGGATTTATTTAAGAAAATTCTCAGACCACTATTATCTAAAGCAAATTGTAATACCTACGGTGCCTTAATCTAATTGCAGCAGATAAAACCAAATAAATCTATATATGAAAATACAGTTCTCGTAAGTGAATGAAAATGGAATCAAGAACACAATAAAGTTCTACTCCTTTATCTTGTATGATAGTTTACTTATATAGAATCAAATTAATATCTCACTCTTTCCCCCTTTCAGACTCTGACTACTAACCTGCCACTGTGCAATAATCAAAATCGACTCAGTCTCTTTCTATTGAAGATGTATCCAAGAAAACAAAGGTTGCATGAAAACTCCTAAGTTACAAACAGTGCAACAAAACATGAAAAGGACATCTTTAAAAATCTATACATAATATACAGTGCTTGGATGAGCTCCAAAACCCCATTTCAATTTTCTTGAATTTTTTGTATTTTAAATTGTCAAATTTGATTTAACTTTATGTCATTGACCCTTTTTGAATAACTTAATTCCTAATTAATAGGATAACTCCTAAAATTTCTCAATAATCCCAAGCTTTTCTCCCTTCATCTCTTCCAACCCCATCTCTCTCTCTCACACACACACACATATTCTCTCTCCTCTAAATCTATATTTACTACAAACTATAGCAATCAGTTTAAGAGATAAAGTATTTATGAAACTTTACCTCATAAAGTACNAATCCCAAGCTTTTCTCCCTTCATCTCTTCCAACCCCATCTCTCTCTCTCACACACACACATATTCTCTCTCCTCTAAATCTATATGTACTACATACTATAGCAATCAGTTTAAGAGATAAAGTATTTATGAAACTTTACCTCATAAAGTACTAGATTTTTTTAATTTTAAATTATTTAATAACAATGCAATGATCTCATTAAATTAAATCATTCCATGTAGCTTATATAACTACTCCCACAAAACTAATTTATTGCATCCTTCTTAATTTAGCATAGTGATGGGTAATTTTCCAAAATACTAGGGTTGGGGTGGGGGTGAGATGAGGGGTGACAATATGGGGTGGGGATGGTAGAATTGTGATGGGAGAGATAGAAAATAATGTGGAATGCACAGGATGCTGCTAGTTGAATCAAATATCCTTGTAGGTGGATTCTAGTTGTTAATCAGCCCAAACGCAGTAATAGCCTAGTAGTCTATATTTGGAAACAACCAGATCATCGACAGTAAAACAAAAACAAGAATCGATTGGAATTAAACAACCAAAAAGGAAAAGGAACAATCCACAGTAAAATAGTCAACATAGCCCAAATTGTCAATGCCAAGATATTTTCTACCTCGCATGTGTCACCCACACACCACCCAATGACAAGAAACAAAAACAAAAACTTTCAATCAAACAGAATCAAGACTTATTCAACAACTCTTTTAGTCTCCAGAATTTCCATGCAGACGGATGAAAAACAAAAACACACAAAGAAGCACGCATTCACTACGGCAGATTTGTTTTTGTTTTTTTTATCTACAACACAATGCAAAGGAATTAAAATCTACTAATGCAGTGCAGTCGGTTCCCTTCTCATGACAAGCATTTTTTATGTTCCCTTCTCTTGTCATATCAGAAAACCAAACCAGCCTGCATTCCGTTTGATTCCCAAGAAACCAGAGGAAAACAAAAAGAACAGATGACTCATAAGATTCTCAATTCCAGTAATCATAGAGAGACTCAAATTCAACAATTTATTCATACCTCACATTCATTAAATTTCAGAAAAACACAGTAATTTTCAACCAAAAAACACAACGAAAACTAACAAAAAAAAATCTCAAATTCTCAGAATTACGAACTTTCAAATCCTTGTCGTCGCCGATCAAACTTGTTCCACGGAGTCACCTTCGATCCTCTGCGTACACAACAGGATAGTGTATATATATTGTATCCCGAATATTTAGAGGTTAGAGAGAGAAAGTCGGGGTTTTTTTTAGAGAGCGGGAGAGAAGAATGAGGATCGGAGATGAATTTATAGCCGTGTTGAGAAATTGAGAGAGAGGGGTGTTTCCGAATTGATAATGGCTTCGAATTGAACGCGACATCGAAAGCTGGCCATTGCCTGCTTCCTTCTTGTTGACAGACGTGTGAAAATATCCTCCTTATTTTACTCATTAAAATATTGGCGTCACTATGGTGTACCCGCGCTTACCCAACGATAGACTCCCATTAGTTAGGAAAAAACAATAATAAAAATTAATACAAATATAATGAAGTGATCATAGAGTCCGAGTTAGAGTCGAAATTTGAAATGTTTTTTGAAAAAACTTTGACTTTGACTCTAATTTTTATTAAATAATAATTTTATTTTAATTATAAATTATGTATTTCATTATATATTATCATTAATGTTAAAACTCAATCGCTTTTTTTTTTTCAATTGATGCGTCTAATTTTATTTTAAAAAAGAAACAATTAATTTTGTTTAAAAACTCACTTGTCAATAGTTATATTACATGATATATTCCTATTTCCTATCTTACCTATAAGTGAAGCTTAAATTTTCACTCACTGAAATTAGAGTCCGAGATCCAATATGTGCCCTCCAACTTCGTTGGAGTTGGCGCCCAACCCTAACAAATATTGATACCCTTCTTTGAGGTGATAAATGACTAAAATGCCCACAAAAATGCGAAAAAAAATGAATCTAAATATACATTTTATAGAAGTTAAAAAAATTCTAAAAAAAAATAGATTATGAGAGAAAGGACAATTAAAGGATAATAAATAAAGAAGATTTATGTAATTGACTCCAAATAATTATAGCAAAATTTTTATTGAGTTGAAAAGGAACATAAAAAAAATTACATGATTTGAGAGATTACTTTAATTTAGTAATATGTAATTTGAATAAAATGTGGGGGCACCAACCAAGAGTATCCTAATAGGTTAACCCACAATCAAGTTTTGTACCCAGTTGTTGATAAGGAACGCTTCATGTTAGTTAAGGTGAGGATGAGTGCACTGTAGTTTCTCTTCTATCTTATTGTGGGTGAGAGGTGAGGTAGACGTACACCTCAGATGCTGCTGGACACAGCTCGTGCTGAGACAGGATTTCGGGCAGGGAGGTAAGAAAACAAGTGTGATGATGACGCGTGTTACCAAATCTTGGTTTTTTTGACACGTGTCCTGGTTGGCTCCATAGACTGTTCTGGATATTTATCCGAAAGTTACGGGGCACCGACGTGGATGGATTAACATTGCATTAAAAAAATATTAATTAAGGTCTGATTTGTCACGTAATCACATTTTAATATTGCAAAAATGACAATAATATGATTTAAACTTAATTTATTAATTTAATCAATCACAATTACTAAATTAATTGCGAGTGTCAACAAAACTAGGCCACATTATCAATGATTAGGATTACGTTTGGTAACATTTTTAATTTTTATGTTTTTTCTTTTAAAAAGTTTAATTATTTTTTATTTTTTTATGTAGTAAAAAGTTGAACAGAAAGCATATTTAATGTAATTTTTGTTTTAAAAACTCAATAAACTAAAATAAAAAACATGTTTCGTAAATATTTTAATTTCTGTCATATATTTTAAGTTTATATTAGTTTCCGGCAAAAAATACATTCAAATTCTTTATCTCAATACATCTATCAACCCACGAAATAAGACACAAAATAAAATAATAAAAAACCTTTAAACTATTAAACATAATAATACATTCTACTGTTAAACATTATACTAAATAGTATAGTACGTCATAATCATTTAACTAAAATTTTAATAATTTGGTTTTAAACAATTTACAAGTTTAAGGTCAATCTTATTTTTCTAACTGACGATTTTTTTTGATTACATAGTGCCTTTAGATACGAGTTTATCACTTAATTAAAATTCTAATATTTTAACACAAATAATTAATTTTTCTTCAAATTTTAGAGGAATTGATTATGATGAGTTGGAATAAAAGCTCATCTATCAATTTTTCAACATTCTTATTTTTGGTCCTTACAAAATATAATATTTTATATATTCTTTCAACTTTTCATTCTTTTATTTTTTTTCACCGTATTAAACAGAACGATCCGGATGCAAAACTTGAGATAAAAGGATGTTTTTGAGATGCAAAACTTGAAATAAGAAAAGACATTGATATTACAAGAAACCTNCACTCACTGAAATTAGAGTCCGAGATCCAATATGTGCCCTCCAACTTCGTTGGAGTTGGCGCCCAACCCTAACAAATATTGATACCCTTCTTTGAGGTGATAAATGACTAAAATGCCCACAAAAATGCGAAAAAAAATGAATCTAAATATACATTTTATAGAAGTTAAAAAAATTCTAAAAAAAAATAGATTATGAGAGAAAGGACAATTAAAGGATAATAAATAAAGAAGATTTATGTAATTGACTCCAAATAATTATAGCAAAATTTTTATTGAGTTGAAAAGGAACATAAAAAAAATTACATGATTTGAGAGATTACTTTAATTTAGTAATATGTAATTTGAATAAAATGTGGGGGCACCAACCAAGAGTATCCTAATAGGTTAACCCACAATCAAGTTTTGTACCCAGTTGTTGATAAGGAACGCTTCATGTTAGTTAAGGTGAGGATGAGTGCACTGTAGTTTCTCTTCTATCTTATTGTGGGTGAGAGGTGAGGTAGACGTACACCTCAGATGCTGCTGGACACAGCTCGTGCTGAGACAGGATTTCGGGCAGGGAGGTAAGAAAACAAGTGTGATGATGACGCGTGTTACCAAATCTTGGTTTTTTTGACACGTGTCCTGGTTGGCTCCATAGACTGTTCTGGATATTTATCCGAAAGTTACGGGGCACCGACGTGGATGGATTAACATTGCATTAAAAAAATATTAATTAAGGTCTGATTTGTCACGTAATCACATTTTAATATTGCAAATGACAATAATATGATTTAAACTTAATTTATTAATTTAATCAATCACAATTACTAAATTAATTGCGAGTGTCAACAAAACTAGGCCACACATTATCAATGATTAGGATTACGTTTGGTAACATTTTTAATTTTTATGTTTTTTCTTTTAAAAAATTTAATTATTTTTTATTTTTTTATGTAGTAAAAAGTTGAACTGAAAGCATATTTAATGTAATTTTTGTTTTAAAAACTCAAGAAACTAAAATAAAAAACATGTTTCGTAAATATTTTAATTTCTATCATATATTTTAAGTTTATATTAGTTTCCGGCAAAAAATACATTCAAATTCTTTATCTCAATACATCTATCAACCCACGAAATAAGGCACAAAATAAAATAATAAAAAACCTTTAAACTATTAAACATAATAATACATTCTACTGTTAAACATTATACTAAATAGTATAGTACGTCATAATCATTTAACTAAAATTTTAATAATTTGGTTTTAAACAATTTACAAGTTTAAGGTCAATCTTATTTTTCTAATTGACGATTTTTTTTTATTACATAGTGCCCTTAGGTACGAGTTTATCACTTAATTTAAATTTTAATATTTTAACACAAATAATTAATTTTTCTTTAAATTTTAGAGTAATTGATTATGATGAGTTAGAATAAAAGCTCATCTATCAATTTTTCAACATTCTTATTTTTGGTCCTTACAAAATATAATATTTTATATATTCTTTCAACTTTTCATTCTTTTATTTTTTTTCACCGTATTAAACAGAACTATCCGGATGCAAAACTTGAGATAAAAGGATGTTTTTGAGATGCAAAACTTGAAATAAGAAAAGACATTGATATTACAAGAAACCTTAGGTGTATGCCCGCAATTATCATAAACATCATGGAAGATCATTAATGTTGTTTTTATATCCTGCTGTTGGAGATAGAAAAGTGAGAAGCAAAGGACACATGTCACGTGACGTGCCACGTCAAAAACTTCTTGTCACGTGATTTGCATGTGCGTAATGGTTTTGACCTAATCTCGGAAGTTGAATCAAATTTGGAAACTACAACTTGGCAGTCAACGCCGACCAAGATCACTCAAATAATTACCATGTGGACAAAGGCTAATGGTTCTAGAAGTTTTAGCTGAATAAGTTTGTTTGTTTGTGTGTTTTTTTTTTTTTTTGTCATGGCTGAATACGTTTGTATACTTGCCTCTTTTTAACCCTTTCTATTGAAGATTATTCATTTTTAGAGAATTTTATGGTACCAAAAAGAATTTTGGTATTGTAAGTTTTGTAATTTTTACGTTTATTATAAATTTTGGAAGTTATTTATAAATGGATAAATTATAACGACACCCCTTTAGATTAGCCTAACTACAGAGACATTTTCTTAATTATTTGAAATATTGCTGGCTTCATCTGTCAAGTTTTGTCTGATAACGGCGTTAATGAGAATATCACTTTTACACATTTATCCTTGATCAATAATCAATTTTATTTGTTGGTATTTATGACACTGTCACCCACATCATATTCTTTTCAAAACTTAATAAAATTTATGCGAAAAAAGATAATAAAAACATATATCTTATTCAGACAAGCTCTCTCTCTCTCTCTCTCTCTCTCTCTCTCTCTCTCTCTCTCTCTCTCACACATGAGAGTAGGGATGACAGTGGACAAAAAAAAATGAGTATTCGTCTAAATCTGTCATGTTTGAATCGGGAATAAATTATACAGATTAGATGATAGACATATAAAAAAATATCCGTATAAATTCGTACGAAATTGAAGGGAGGGATACCCTTACCCCGCACTGTCCCATTAAATATATATATAAATAAAAATAGTCCAAGTAAAGCTCTAAGTTACTCTCTCCAATCTGTATCAGTACCGCCGGCCTCCATACTCTCTGTGGCCCCTCTCAAGTCTCATTCATCTCTCTGTTTCTCTGCGGCTATTCGATTTCGACAGTCTTCAACGGATCTTTCGATCGGCAACAGGGCATCACCCTACTTTAAAATGAGTCAGTATTAATGTAAGATGATGAGGAGAGAACCCTAATCAGTCTCTTTCATCTGCAGAATTTCTATTTCTCAGTTTTCTTCATTTCTCTTCTATCTTTCTCCCAGAGTTTGCATACACTAAATTAAATTGTGTTCAAGTTTATTCTCATTGGT